CATTTAATAAAAATAGAATTTTCTAACGAGTAATAATGACAATTATTCATCTCAAAACCTGACGTGACGAAATCATTAAAAGAATGTCACATTAATGAAAGAAATAAGTTAAACCTTTCACTAAATTTCTTGACCCAATTACAAACCACTTGAACCAAATGTCTATATAGTTCAATGACAAGAAAAACTGTTGAATATTTTATTTAAGTAATTAGGCTAGAATTCTAAGTTCAGCATCGATAATAGTGGTTAAAAATGTACTTGTATAGCAGAAAAGTAATGTTTGGTTAAACGATATTCTTACAAGACATTGAATTAACAAAAATATCTTAAAATGACGTTCAGGTGAAACAGGCTTTCTATCTAACAGTTCCAATACTGTACAAATCTCTTAGTTATTAATCAACGATTCAAAATATGAATAAAGAGAAACCGCTAAAAATTTAAATATTTCAAGCAGCAAAGACAGTCTTAAACTGCAACCTATTTAGTATACTTTTATAAATTAAATAAAAGTAACAGAAAAATCGCAATGCAATATAGTGAACATAATAATTAATAACTATGAATTTATAATCATTAATATATCAACTTTAAAAATGTAATATATGTTCTAGTTAAATTATTATTGACCAAATATGAAAAGGTTTTACTATCAACTTTGAGGAGTTTCTGCACTGAAAACTGATATCTTTTAAAAGTGATTTTAATATCGTCTGCTAAGCAAACCAAGTTATGCTTTTTCACTAGCTTCGTCGGTTATTATGGAGTTTATTGCACTGTACGTAGAACTAGCGTTTCCCAAATATTTTGGCCATTATATGCTCTGCCTAGTTGATGAGATGTAGCTCCCTGGGTAGCGCCTTAGGCAGATAAAAGGTAAAAAGTTGAAACCCGAATTGCACTATTTCGGAGGAATGTGATATTGATCTACATACTTAATAAGTTTTTTTGCTTTGTGAACTGAAGCATTTTATATACCATAGCACATGTAACAGCTTTATGTTACTTAACCATAACACATGTAACAGCTTTATGTTGCTTAACCATAGCACATGTAACAGCTTTATGTTGCTTAACCATAGCACATTCAACATCTTTATGTTACTTAGCCACAAAACATGTAACAGCTTTATGTTACTTAACCATAGCACATGTAACAGCTTTATGTTACTTAACCATAGCACATTCAACATCTTTATGTTACTTAGCCACAACACATGTAACAGCTTTATGTTACTTAACCATAGCACATGTAACAGCTTTATGTTACTTAACCATAGCACATGTAACAGCTTTATGTAACTTAACCATAGCACATGTAACAGCTTTATGTAACTTTACCACAACACATTCAACATCTTTATGTAACTTAACTATAACACATGTAACAGCTTTATGTTACTTAACCATAGCACATTCAACATCTTTATGTTACTTAACCATAGCACATGTAACAGCTTTATGTTACTTAACCATAGCACATTCAACAGCTTTATGTAACAGCATATGTAACAGCTTTATGTAACTTAACCACAACACATTCAACATCTTTATGTAACTTAACCACAACACATGTAACAGCTTTATGTAACTTAACTATAACACATGAAATAGCTTTATGTAACTTAGCCACAACACATGAAACAGCATTATGTAACTTAACAACAACACATGTAACAGCTTTATGTAACTTAACTATAACACATGAAATAGCTTTATGTAACTTAGCCACAACACATGAAACAGCTTTATGTTACGTAGCCACAACACATGTAACAACTTTATGTAACTTAACCACAACACATTCAAAAGCTTTATGTAACTTAACTATAACACATTCAACAGCTTTATGTAACTTAACCACAACACATTCAAAAGCTTTATGTAACTTAACTATAACACATTCAACAGCTTTATGTAACTTAACCACAACACATGTAACAGCCTTATGTTACTTAACCACAACGCATGTAACAGCTTCATGTAACTTAACCACAGCACGTGTAACATCTTTATGTTACTTAACCACAACGCATGTAACAGCTTCATGTAACTTAACCACAGCACGTGTAACAGCTTTATGTTACTTAACCACAGCACGTGTAACAGCTTCATGTAACTTAACCACAACAAATTCAACAGCTTTATGTAACTTAACCACAACAAATTCAACAGCTTCATGTAACTTAACCACAACACATGTAACAGCTTCATGTAACTTAACCACAACACATGTAACAGCTTCATGTAACTTAACCACAGCACGTGTAACAGCTTTATTTATCCTGTTTGTAGACAAACTAATTAACTACCTTACACTGTCCTTTTGTATTTTTTCAACTCTATTGAGTCCAGTAGTTCACTAACACAGTCTCTAACTACGCCATGCTGTGCTATATGTTGTGTATAATTATATCCATATATTAACCTTATTTTCTATACAATTTAATCTATGTCCTAACATCATCAAATGTACAATTTAAACGTCAAAAGTTAGCGAAGCATTAAAAACCAATAGGCCTAAAATTTGTAACAAAAAACAAACAAAACATAATAAGATAATGGTGTTTAAATAGAGCTTTCGGTTCAAATTAGGAACTAAAGAACTGTTCTATCTTTACTCGGATTTAGACTATATTTCCCTTGTTAGGATAAGTCACTATTTTTGTGTTGTTTGAAACAATATCTTAAAACGAGAAATGATAAAGTGCCTAATAAAATACTAAGTGCTCAGTGTACAAATGAAAAGTCATATTACAAGTGCTCAGAAACATTTAGATAATAAATTTAAACGGTAAGTGATATGGTGCTCAATGTATAAATAAGCAACTGATATTGTAAAGAGGAGCGTGTACTTTGAAGTAGCTGAGGCAACAATATGTTATACGTCACCAATATAATATAATATATAGACTAACTGGTGCACTAGCTTCAAGGTGAAGTTAGGAGCTTGCAAGTATTTCGTGGAATCGTTAGTCTAAAGTGGGAGAGTTTCATACGTGGAAAAAAAAATGTTCGAGGGCGTTGCGATCAAAACTATTGGCAGAAAAACACAAGTTATCGAGCAGATCGTTTTCCGATTGACTTTAATAAGGAACACTGTACTATTGCATGTTTTCTCGACGTCGAGAAGGCATCCGACAGGGTGTGGCATAACGGCCTTAGTTTCCAAGTGCCCAAACTTTCAAGAGAAATGATTCGCTGGTTGTCTAACTTTCCCTAGGAGATAGGAGCATCAGAATCAATGTCGAAAGCACCTACTCTGAGAACTTTACTCCGGAAGTAGGTACCCCACGGAGGGGGGGGGGTAATTAGCCCTTCATTTTTTATCATCAAAGGAAGAGGATATTACCGAAGAACCAGTGAAAGAAGTACAAGAAACAGCATGTGAAGGAAGGAGGAAGATTTCTGACGAGCACCTAATCCTCCTATAGCCTATAGGCCACAAGCCTATAAACACCAATCCAGCATACATAGAAACATGGTGCAGATAACCGATCAGACATCTTGTTGTTTGTTTGGGCGAGTCAAGCTACGTCTTTTTCTACTGAATATGGAAAAAAAATTGCTCTAACTTTAAGAATGCTTCAACCGCTTTAACTCAAGTAAAATCACATAAACCAAGTAACAGCGCTTTTAAATGATTGTCCAGTTGGGAGGAAGAGGTCGAAAATGTAATTGACCCTTCCAAGTCCTATATCGGACCTAAAACCCATTCCAGATCGACGGACGGTAAGAGGTGCGAGAAAATTCGATAAGCTTAAGCCTAACTTGCTGCTATGGTTTGGAGTTTAACGCACTTTTATGGACAGAAATATATATGGCTATAAACTCTTTATTTTTAACTAAAATATTATCTTTAAGTTAATTTTAGGGTAATATTTATAGATTAAAGTTCACTAAACAATTAGGTATAAAGATAAAAAATATTCTAATATTAAATTTAATTTTATGTATATGTTAAGCAGTAAAACTGTCTGTTTTAACTCTCTCTAATTTCAGTTAATGCATAACTATGCCTTTATTTCTCTCTTTTCACTTTTAAGAATGATTGAAAAATGCCAACAACTGTTACTTTAAATGAAATTTTAATACCCATATAGAAGGAAGTAAACCAAAAGATTGCAAAAAATTATAATATTGGAACTTTGGTTCAATTGGGAAGTTTTTCTGCCTTTGTCGTGGGTGATTTTAAGAATTATTAAAGTACTGTACGTTCATTAGGCTTAGCACTGATAATGTGATTATTGTATACTATTCCAAGTTATATCATTACAGCTTTTTGTGGATGATGTAATCATTAACAAAATGTAGTTTCTCTTCGTCAGCCTGCCATAAATATTTGGGGCAAATACCCTATGAAAATTAACTTGAAAGGTACAATTTACGTTTTCCATTCAACTAAGTGCCTAATCATTTATCGTTTTAAATCGTTGTTTCAAAGGACAGTTGACACGTTTGTTTATACAGTCAGCGCCCCACCGTTTCCCGTTTTAATTAGCTGTTTCAAAAGATACAGCAATATTTGTAATATAAATGGTTTTATAATTTTTTTGTTTTAATTGATTATTTCAAGGGACACGTGATTGTTTGTAGTGTGACGTTTATTTCTACGTTTGACACTTTATAATTTATCGTTTCAATTGATTATTTAAAAGACATGAACATTTGTATTAAGAAATCTTTATTTGTACTTTGAGCACTTTATGATTGGTCTTTTTAATGAATTATTGCAAACGAAAAACGTCTATTTTTAGTATAACGTGTGCATGACTGTAAATATGGCAGTTTTGGTCGTTCGTAGAATTCTACCGTTCAGCAGCAACTTTGGGCAAGGGCAAATCTAAGACTGGAGCTTAGTATTGTTTTTTCGATTAGATCTTCTGCCCATGGTTACAGGTGATAAGCGTAATTTCCCAAAACTGCTATATCTCAGTAACAAGGGATGAGACGAGTGATAGATTGGGCTTCGTATTTATTTTTTAAAATTAACTAATAACAAACCTGTATTATGCAAGTAAATAACATATAATATTTCTTGAAGTGACAAAACAAATTATTATTTTTCTTTGATTTTCTGTAGGAATACAAACAATAGCCTATAACTTTAGCATAAATAAATAATAAATTAAAAAAGATCCGATCCTCTAGCCAGCCTATCGGTCATCTTAGAATGTAGAATAACTTCGTGATTGTCAACTATTGGTTGGCCAAATGTGTAGTTGCTTGGTGGGTCTAAAGCAGTAAGAACATCCATTTGGCTGGTTAGTGTAATAGAAGAAGGTACCATTGGTGAATGTAAATCACGTTCTGATATGGGGATGCTGCCCGCCTCTTTTTTTTGGCCGTTGGAAGAACTCGAAATAGGTTCGATTGTGGTTACTACGCCAAATTGAGTTGGGGAAGACTGGAAGATATCTACGGTAGAAGCATTGATGATAGGCCTGGATATGTTGTATATTTCGGATTCCTTGTTACTAGAAAGTTCTTGCATATTGCCTTCACTGTAATCTGGTGACGTCAGAGGGGAATAAAGAGCGATTAGAATGATAAATATATTCTTAGGAAACTGAAAATTGTTAAAAGTTATATACTAAAATATATCACTAAAATGGTAATAGCAGCGACATCTATAAGTCACATTTCAACAACAGATATAAACAATAAAAAAAATAACACTCTAAGAAATATGCTTACAAAATGTGAAAACTTATATAGTGTGATGTCGTTAACCTACTACTAATATCAGGAATGAAGATAATGAAATATAATTTGTAGTTTTTCTAACAAGACCTTTTATGGTTAAAATCATCAACATCTTTAGGATCCTCAAAATTGCAAAAAATAATCACTCGATGACATGACAAAGGAGGTGAAATCATACATATTTTAAATACTCCAGTACGCATTCCAGTGAAGATTAGTGTAAGTGCAGAATATGAACCATCAATGTAAGGATATACAGAAAATAATAGGAGTAAAACTATTTTTTATACACTCAATCTGAGCGATAAGGTCACAGATAACATCAGAGGGGCCTAGCATGGCCAGGTGGTTACGGCACTCGACTCGCAATCTGAGGGTCGCGGGTTCGAATCCCCGTTACACCAAACATGCTTGCCCTTTCAGCCGTGGGGGCGTTATAATGTGATGGTCAATCCCACTATTCGTTGGTAAAAGAGTAGCCCAAGAGTTGGCGGTGGGTGGTGATGACTAGCTGCCTTCCCTCTAGTCTTACACTGCTAAATTAGGGACGGCTAGCGCAGATAGCCCTCGTGTAGCTTTGCGCGAAATTCAAAAACAAACAAACAAACAATTTAATTCGTTTTGAGCGAATAAAATGTTTTACATAAAGAAAATGTTGAGCATCATCAACATATTCATAGAAATAGAGAAGAAAACTTCACTAAAAAAAAAAAAGATAGATAAACTAAATATAGTACCTTTAATTTGGATTTTCTCCTTTTATTTAAGGATCAGTGGAGAGAATCATTTCACGGAACTGTGGGCGCCTGAGCTGACCGCCAAAAGTTTTTTACGGGTTACTACAGAAGACGTTACTACGTACAACAACTTAGGCTAGACAAACATTTCGCTCGATAAACACACACATCACACAGTCAGGTGGACATGGCAGTCGGAAATTCAGTAGTGGAGCGCGAACAAAAAGAAAAGAGAAAAAAAAAGGGGGGGACAAGATAATTCTACAATTGTATGTTATTATCGTGGGAGAGAATCCATGGCACTAATATTGTGCAGAAATACTTTGTAAATTTAAGAAGCAAGTTGTGATTCTGTCCATAATTGCGTGGTATAAAACAATTAGGAAAAAGAAAAATGTAAAACTTATAGTTAATTAGTGCATAAGTTACAATACACGAGAGACGTTCAGGAAATACAGGTTTTTCTTCAAAATTTGATTTATGGGTAAATTGTGGCTGATCAATGAACTAGTAAATAGATCAAGATGATAAAAACCCCATAACCCGAGCGTTTTCGAAAGATGGACCTTTCTTCTTCAGGGGCAAACTAGCAAATAGATCAATATTTTTCTCTGATATTATAAAAGATTCTTCTACAGTTTGGTAATGCGATTCGTCATATTTGTCGTTATCGTCCTGATCTACTACTCCGTGATTTCCGTCTTTTTTTATCCTCTCAGGGACAATACGCGTAGACAATGCTTTCAGACCATTGATGTCATTGAAGTAACTATACTCAGGTAATTGATATACTTAAAGCAGCTGTACGCATATAGATCTTAATAACACACCTTCATTTACCGAACTTGTATGATACAACTCATAGAATTATAAACGACACGCTTTGTACTTGATGGGAACTTTGTTAAAAGTAGTGTTTAGATGCTCACCCCCCTCATCACCTTTGGTGTAGATTTGTTTCCTTTTTGAACACCCATCGTAATTTATGGGGGTGATGTGAAATTAGCAAATAACCACTTTCCTTTACAAAAGATCCTATATACTTATCTAAACAGAAATCACATTGGTTCTTATTTAGTACTGAACATTGTAATTGCTATCAACATAGATTCATGCAGTGTTTACTACACAGCCCATTACTGTAAACAAGCTGGAGTGAATATTAAGAATAATCCGGGTAATACAATAATAAATATGATTAAAGTTACTTGTTTGGCTACTCGATGTTTTTGAGCTACGTTGACTTATTATATTACATCAGACATTTAAGGAGCTTAGAACTAGCATAAAAAACTTTCAGTATGTTGGAAATGTTAAATCTAATGTTCGTTCACTTTAGATTCTAAATTTGCTAATAACTTTTAAATATGTTGCCCGTTATACTTAGAAGAATACCAAATTCATCTTTGGTTGTAACTTTTTTCTCTTTTACTTCTCGAATAATCTTTTTTGAAAGATTCGACATTAAGCTTAATTTCTGTATCGTTTTGAAACCATTAAACTAAAAAAAAAATTCCTTTTGCCTATATTTCACAAAATACTTCGAGTGCCACCAACACAGCGAATTAAGTCAAATTATACAGTCAGCAACAGAACTCGCCGTTGCTTCCTATGCAATTAAAGGAATTCGATAACCAAAGCCCCCTCATAAAACTCTTGTGTTACCGAGCTACTTTGATTGTGACCTATCTACTTTTTATATTACGTGATTTTAAAATAACACAAGTGCAGTTTTCATTAGAATTTGGTTATCGCAATAGAAAGTAAACTCTTAAAACTCTTGTGTTACCGAGCTACTTTGATTGTGACCTATCTACTTTTTATATTACGTGATTTTAAAATAACACAAGTGCAGTTTTCATTAGAATTTGGTTATCGCAATAGAAAGTAAACTCTTAAAAATATCGAAAAGTTAGGTGATCTCAGACAGTGTTTTGGAAAAATATATTCTTTTCGTCTTATTGATCGAAGAAAGCCCATACCGCGTTATATTTTTCTTAGAAGACGACTGATTTATTAGCTAGAACTGTCATGTTTTCAAACAACGTAATTATCTCTGTCATACCCTATATTTTACGTTTTATTGAAATGCAAGAAATCATGACTTTAGTGAAGCTTGAAAAAAAAAGATCATTTGTTTCCAAAAAATCAGTGAATTCTGAGCAAACCAGTAATTAGATATACAGAAACTCCTTGCAGTTTCCACTTTTGGCTTTTAGTTATTTTTAAAAGCCTACTTTATCAATTGCCCGGGGCCCGGTATAGACAGGTGGTTAGAGCAGTCGACTCGCAATCTGTGGGTCGCGGGTTCGAATTCCTGTCCCACCAAACGTGCTCGCTCTTTCAGCCGTGGGGGCGGTTATAATGTGACGGTCAATCCCACTATCGTTGGTAAAGATTAGC